TACAAACCGTAAGATCATGACCTGAGCGGAGATCAAGAGTCAGATGCTTAGCTGACTGAGCCACCTAGGCGCCCCAGATAACAGTTATCTTTAAAAGTTAGGATCTCAGTTTTTAAGGGTTTGCATCTTCCTTAAGTGCGTGAATCCCTAAGGTTGACTTCTGAAAGTATAGGTTTCTGAGGTACATTTTTTTTCCCCCATCAATACTGTGCTACTATATTTAAATTCGCTTCACTCACTGTTCAATGATTCTATCATTTGTTATCCAGTCAACAGACACTTACTGGACACCTATAATTTTTAGGTCCATGAAGAAAACAAACAAGATGTAGAGAATAGTGTTGTTCCCTGCCCTTAAGGACATCACAATCTAGCAGAGTGGATAAGACAAATAACCACAGAAGTTGAATATAAAAGGGACGAGAATAAGTGCTGTAAGAAAGGCAGAAACAAAGTGTTCTATATGCTGGCATCTGTTTAGAAAGTCCTTCCCAATAGCACCAGTCTCTGATTGTCAAACTATGGTTTTTCTTTCCAAAATAACTCAAATGCCACCTGTCCTATGAAGTCTTCTCTGACTACCCCCTCCATAACCTTTTGTTGACAACTTCCATATGACATGGTGTGTGTTTGGGGAATTATAAGGAATTCTAACTTCCAATATTAACACAATGAGTTTATCTTATATTTTTCTGAACACTTAATTTTTTACAAATGAATTTTTTTCTTAATAGAACACATTTTATATCTGTATGATTTAATCTTCAAGACTTGTCACTTATTAGACCATATGCTCTGACCCTGACCTTTGGTTTCGACAATGTGGTCACTATGGTGAGAATCAGAGATAAATTGCGTGTTACACTGAAATAACTGGTCTATCTTCTGTTTATGACTGGCACCCACACTGACTGATCAGGAAAAGTCTATTCTGACTGGTCAGAGCCCATGCCATGTAAGTTGTTAACTATTTTGAATATCACGCTAGGTGCTAGGGCATTCATGGAATTGTGAGTTGGGTTCAGAAAAATAGAAACTTATACCCTAGGTTAGGGAATTTTGAAGGGCCCTATAATAGCATCAGTGGTTTTACACATATCTACTCAGATCAAATGATTCACTGGTCCACAAACTCAAAAAATCCTCTTATCAATCTAGACATTCTTTTGCATTTATTTGTCTTGCTTAAATACAAATTGCAAGATCATACATACATCTTACAACAAATGCATGTGGAGTACCCACGTGGCAGGGACTGCTCACTGTTTACTCACGTCCACTTCTTATGCCTGGGTATTGTTATACATTTTTCTGCCTCTTTTGCAATTAGATATGACCATATGGTTAGACTCTAATATGGTATGACTGGGATGGAGAGGCCCCTTGAGTGACCTTGAAAACTATGTGTTTAATAAGGCAAAGTAGCCATCATCTTGGGTCATGAATAACTGCGGAGACCAGTGTGCCTTCCACTTTTATCTCACCAATCTGGCACAGTTAGTGAGCAAAACATAAATTTCTAAGCTATTAAGCCATTAAGTATTTGGATCTATTTATTATTATAGCCTAGCTATATCAATTAGGATAAGCTAGGTTATGATTTTTTTTTAACTCAGTGGTGCAAACCATAAATGTTTATTTCTTAATCATGCTACTTAATCATTGAGAGTTTTCTGAGGGTAATCCTGCAATAGTGTTCTTACTTTCTCACTCGTTCTCTGGGGACCTGCCTCATGGAACAACTGCCATCTGGATAATGCTGGTCACTCTGAAGGAGAGGAAATAATCATGGAGAGTCTTTCATCAGCCATTACACCAACAGCCAGACAGTCACACACATCACTCTGACCCATTGATCAGACTTAGCCATATGGCCCCAATCAACCAGAAAATACAACCCTATTCTGCACATAGAAGCTGCATAGCTAGAATTCAGAAAGTGTCATTAAATACCACCACACCAGCTTATCTAAAACAGCCTACTGTGTGCTAGGTACTATGGAAAATGTTGGGATTTAAAGGTAAATATGTTATGGTGTCAATTTTATAAGTTTACACTGCATTGTCTTCTAAACCTATGGGTTGATACCATCTGTATTTGCTGATTTTTCTGTAATATGTTTTAAGACAACAGTACATCTATTATCATTTAGCTAATTTATTCCTTTATCCCATCAATAATATTAATTACATATTTATTTACTACATATATCCATCTTGGGAGCTGTGGGGTTTACAGTGATGAAGTCGACACCAATCCTGCCCACCAAGAACTCAGAGTGTTGGAAATGTATTTGTTATCATACCTCCAAGATACCCCAGTGTATATCTCCTTGGCTGTCTTTTCAATAAAACTAAGGTTGGGATTTCAGTTTGCTGTTTTGTTCTTATCATATGGAAATCAGGTGTTAAATTGGAAGAGTGTCTAGACTATTGTCCAACGCTCATGGAGAGATCTCCGAGTGATCTTCTATCATTTGGTTCTTGGGTGTTTGGGTCATTTGAGGTCCCATGAACCACAGTCTACACATGGTATGGGCCTCCACCAATATACCAGAGAAACAAAAGATAGGGATGTAGACTGAAAGCAATGTATTCTGCTCTAACTCATCATTCTTCAGAGGTACAGGCACTACTTATTTTTGGAAACTTTTTTCAACTTACAAGTCTCTTTGAAATGTAATAAAGCAACGGTTTTCTATAGTGTAAGAGGAATAAGAAGAAGGTGCCCCAGGGAGGGGAGGGGCAGCCCAAGAGGGGAGGTGCAGGCATTCTGTCTCAACTCCAACCAGAGTAGCTTCACTTTTGACTGTTTTATGTATTGGAATTCTACCAATGAGTCTATTATTAGAAAGCTTAATTTCTTTAAAAAGATAGAATGATCTAATAAGTTGCTATTCCAAAACATTGCAAGGAGTCCAAGAGAATTAACAAAGTCACCTTCCTAACAAATAACAGACCATGAAATCTGGAAGGGACTCAGAATCATCCCAGTTCCTTGGCAACAGCAGCTTTGGTCTTTGTCATCTGGAAAGTGCAGAAGATCTCACTGAATATACCCCATCCCCTAGAGGCCATGATTTCCCCAAAGGAAGTAGTTAGCCCAGTGCCTTGCACGCAGTAGCTAATCAAAAAGTATCTGTCGAACACACAAAGGAAAGAATCAGGACTGACCTGTTTTGTCATGGGTAAGAAAAACAAAGCTTAGAGTGGGGAAGGTTTTGGCCCAAAGTCATACTCTAAAAGTGAAGGCAAAGTTAGGAGAAAACTCTATGGCTTTGCACACTGGGTTATGTCATGTTCACTCCTAAACAGCAATAAAACTTCCAAAGTCAATCTCTCATTTCTTTGTTCTGTCCCCATCCTAATGAAGTAACAAAGATAGCCAAAGTTCCAACTCAAATGATCAATGGCCATGTCTGTCTACTACTTCTGTTAGTATGGGATGTGAACAAGGTATCTTTCTTTTATGCTCCATGATGCAGAATGTGTCTCCCCCCTTCCTACCCCAGCCTCACCAAGGCCAGGACACACTCAGAGAGAGACTGCCCAGCAATAGTATCTGAGGTGCTAAACAGAAGACAGGGCCTGAGAGGGGCGGGCAGTTTAAGAAGGACAAGTTATACTAGGGTTAGGTTACTGCTGTTTCTTCTTCCTTTGTGCCTTCTTTTCTTTGCATCACCGATGATGTTATTTATGGAATGCCGCTTTCTTTTTTTAATTAAAAGGAGGAAAAATCCAGTCTTGTTCAAGAACAAGAGTGATGACTCAACAGGACTGCTCAGTGCCAAATGACTTCCTGTAATCACTTTTGTAACAGTGTTTCTTACAGAAGCAGGCTTTTGGGTGCAGGGCGAGACTACACTCCCGGACACCCACCTGTCCAAGTGGCTCACTCATGTCACAGCCCGGGTTGCCTGGCGCATCTGCCATCATGAACTTGGGCCTGGAGTACCCAACCTGACCAAATCTTGTGGGTCTCTGAGCATGGAGAGGGGAATAAGTTAGCAGAGTTCATTGAATTCTTGCTCAAATCTTCTGGGTAATCTAAATATTCCCTTTTTCAGGCATTATAACATGCCAATGGATCTTTTTTTAATAATGTAAATTACCTTGAAACTCACCTGTTTTAACTCCTTTTTTATTACAGGTAAGAAAACAGATACTTAAATCAATTTGGCAAATATTTATTGGCCACTTACTGTTTGGAAAGGATTATGCTCAGCCTTTCTTGTCCAAATGACATTTTAAGGTCTCGTAACTTGTTGGGTGACAGAATTAAAAACTAAATGTCCTCACTCCCTTGCAAGACTTTTTTCTTCCATCAAGTCTAAAGAGAGGGTTATTGTCATAACTGTCTTGCTGGTCTAGAAATTCTTGACTGGTTTGTGATTGAATATGAGCGTGTGTGTGTGTGTGTGTGTGTGTGTGTGTGTGTGTGTGTGTGTGTTTCTTTTAACACTGGACATGTACCTAGGAGAGATGTATAGCAATCCAAGTTGATAATAGTAAACACTGGAGGCAGCATGTCAGAGTTAGAAAAACACTTGCTTTGTGTTCAAACATAATTATGAATCCCAGCCCTTCCACTTACTATGACCATGGCTGAGTTTCAGAATCATTTTGAGCTATACTTTCTTCATATGCAAATGTATAGTAAAGTATATTTAATATTTATCTTAAAAGAATATATACAATATACAGAATTAATATATTAGCCGTATCTTTTACTGTCTGATGCTTTAACATCTTGGTTAAAGCCTTGCTGACCATGGAGGGATTGTCCCCGTCAAGGTTAACTAATTCCACCACCTTTCATAGGCAACCCAATCAATCCAGAGCCCAAAACCCTAACCACTTCCTTTACCAGGCTCTCACATTCCAAACTACTGTTTCTCTGGCCTGATCACTCCAGGGCCAGGTACCAGACAAGGAGAGACAGCCCCTGTGATCCAGAACTTCTGAAATTATCTGAACTAGTCAATCTTAATCCTGCTTACCCTGCTGTGTCCATTCTTTCCTGTGGAAACAAGAATAAAGGCTCTCACCTATGTCTTCCCCTCCTTCTTCTGCCTCTTAATCTTGGTCCTTCCCCTGTGGCCTTGCTCAGCATGGTTCGAACCTCCATTCTCTTTCCCCCTTGGGATCTGTGAATAACAAATTATCTTTTCAATGACAACCCTCCAATATGTTAGCCTCACTATACCTGAATAATAATAAAACCTATATTTTAAAACACAGTGTGCTTGACAAAGCACCTCATACAAAAGGCTCTTGATAAATTCCTTCATATAACATAACGTATTAATGGCTTGCTACGTGTGAGGCCCCTGGGTGCACAGATATGAATAATACCTAGCTCCCACTCTCAAGGAACCTGGTTGAGAATATGGGAAGCAGCAACTTATCAGAAGTGGGGTAGGTTGTGAAAATTTCTCTACAGCAGATGGAGATGTAGGAGGCAGCAGAGGCATTAGATGGCCTGCTTTGGGCTACACAGCAGGATGGTGGGAAGGAGGACTCAAGTTCAGGCTCTTCTGACCAGCAGCCCAGGACTTGGTTCATAGCTGGGTCCATGATTTCATTGAGTGCAGGAAACTGGAGCGAGGGGGACATAGAGCGCGCCTGACTGCCCGAAACTGTCATCCTCTGCCTTTTTCTGCTCCTCTAGGGGTTTATTCCTGCAGTACTTAAGACAAAATATTCAGTTCTTCTTTGGCCTCTATTCTACATTCCATATTCATTTATTTTCAATAAACATTGTCAGCTTCCTTATTTTTCCCCCTAAAGCTTACAAATAAATTTTTCTGTCTTGCCTTTCTTGCTACATTTACATAAAAGCCACACTGAAAAATTTATAGCAGTAACGGAGGTCTTGGGGAAAACAAAACGCTCTGAGGACAAATGCCGACTTAACCCTTTACTGAAGAGCAGCGCGAGGCATGCAGGGCCATAGAGAGGACTTCACATGACAGGTAACACACTGAATATGCTCATTTCACCAATGAAGCATTAATAATGGGCTCAATTTGAGGATCCTCATGACTTCATTCACTCAGTTCCTTAGACCACAAAGGATTCCAAGGAAATAAAAGTGAATTCAGTTGCTAAATTTTGAAGCTGCTATATAAATTCTATGCAAGTTTACTCTTTGGAAATACTGAAAGGATCGAAGTCGCTTAGGGCAGGATTCGACTTCATGAAAATTCTGGATAGCAATATTTCATAAGGATTATAATTTGACCACTTTGAAACATAGTACATATAAAATAAATGACCAAATCATTTCTCCTTTCATCCAATGAACATTTAATGAGCATCTACTAGGTGTGTGTCCCTGGGGACACAGAGAATTTAATGCATTCCTTGCCCACAAGGAGTACGTAGCCTACTGTTCATTAATAGAAAAATTGGTACTAATACCAAATAAGTTAAATTAGGAAAAATAAGGTTTTTATTTTAGAATGTAGCATACACATGAAAATACTTGGGCACATGAGAATTAATTTCTGAATGCCTGGAAGTAAAAGGGATCTTTAATTTATGGCATGTTCAGTTCAGAAAGGTTTCTAATTTGGGGATGAATTCCCTTCGTGAGCAAGCTCCAACACATTCAGAGAGAGCCATGATTCAAGGCTTTGTATCACTCCCATTACCCACACACTGCCTATCATGATGGAATTGCTGCCGAATCCATGTTATGAAGGCTGGGCTCAATTAGGCTTCTCTGACAGCCTTGACGTTGGTAACCATGCAGGCCTTGAAAGGGGTATAAGCAGGCCCAGCCATCTGAGTGCTTCAAGCCTTCCTTTCCTTGAGCAAGTTAGACAGGTAGATGTGAAGATTTTGCAAACCCTCCATGACATATGAAATAATGGTTTCTAACTCCTTGATCAAAATGAAAATGATCACAGCTACATTAACACATATATATTGCCAATGTTTAGGACTTTCCAATCCAATCTTCCATTTTTCCCTCTTCCCCTGCTGTTACCCAACCTCCAAAGCTTTGACTCTGTGTTCTTCTATCTAAGGTGATGAATTACCTAACCTCACTAGAGATCAGAAGAGTTACTCCCACCTAAGGATAAGCTATGTGCATAGAGTAGGTAGGCTTGAATGCCGTCCTTCCTGTTCTTTGTTTTAGACACATTCTGATTCTACCTGGAGAAGAATCAGGAGGCGTAGGCTGATGATCTGCTTCATCAGCTACAGGAAGTACCAAGGAGAGGACAGCTGGGTAGCTGACAAGACAACAAGTTGTATAAGGGGCACTAAAACACTCCTGGAAATATGATCAGAGAGATAAATGGATTTATTAACATCTTTCTGGGATCGTGTCAGATATGGTTAGAAGGAGGATGGGGAAGGCACTTGGGATGAGCATGGGCAACAACCAACCTGCACATCACACATAACCTCCTTGACGATAGTGCTTTTCTCTTCTTTGCTGAGTTATGCACATTTAAAACCAAAGATGAGTTACTCTAATGACAGAAGCGAGGTTGACTGATACCATCTTTGGGTCTACTTCTTCATTCTCCCCAGCAGAGCATTCAAATTCTCTGCTGTGTAAATGGTGAACAAATATTTTAAAACATTAGTCCCCATGTTTCAATCTATCCCTGATCATAGACTGAATACTCAGGGCAAGTGAGTATTTCTCTGTCTTCAAGGCACATGTGTTTGACCTTCATAATAATAATATTAATATAATACATTAATAAAAATAGTAGTAGTGGTGGTGGTAGTGGTGGCAGTGGCAGTAGTAGTAACTATTATTTGCTAACCTCTTCCTTTGTCTTATGTGAGGAGACTTGGCGTGAGAATTTTGGGTTTATAATGCCCCAGCTCTGTTGTTTATCCTGTTAGTTAACCTCTATATACCTCAGTTTCCTCTTTTTTGAAGTGCAGATAATAATTGTACACCACTTCATAAGATTGACATAAGGATTAATTAAGGTCCCGTATGCAGAGTGTTTAGAATGTTCCTGGAATGTAACATGATTATATTACTTTATTTGTTATTACTATTTTATATATTCCTCACAAAAGTCTTGAAAGGGAGGTATTATTCCCATTACAGAGTTAAGAAACTAAAGCTCATGGAAGTTAAACAGTTGGTTCAAGATCAAACTACTGATCAGTGCCAGACCTGGGATTTGAACCTAGATCTCACTGATACCAAAGCTTCTCTGACACAATATCTTCTGTCAGTGTTGTGTAGTCCTTGAATTCAGCAGTTCTGGGGCTTGACTGCCTGAATTCAAATAACAGCTCCACCTCTTTTTGCTGTGTGATCCTGAGTGAGTTCCTTCACCTCTCTGCACTTTACTTCTTTTGTATCTAAAATGACATATGAAATAATGGCTTCTAACTCCATGATCAAAATGATAACAGCTAATATTAACAAATATATAGTGCCAGTGTTTAGGACTTTCCAGTCCAATCTTCCATTTTTCATATGTCTAATCCTTATCCCAGAGGTGAGTACACATGAAGTACCTTGCACAGTGCCTCGCACATGGTAAGTACTCAAGGTTTGTGATTTTCACTATTATTACCAAAGCCATTTATAAATTGAGAGCTTTTGCACACAGGGGTACCATCTCCACTGTTTTTCTTTATCTTGTATCCTTTAAATAAACACATTCACATTAGTCAACTTTCATTGAAAGAACATAAAATCTGGATTTTGGATATTCTCTGCTATGTTATCTTTCTCCTTCTGAGAATGTGTTCAGACTTCCTTCTGCCGTGCATGTGTCATGTCTTCCTCCTCCCCCTATCCAGTTTGTCAAGTCATGATGACCTCTGTTTCTTGAGGTTATAGGATGACGTTCATCTTCCCCTTCAAATTCATATATGGAAGCTCTAACCCCTAGTACCTCAGAATATGGCTCTATTCAAAGATAGGGACTTTAAATTAAAATTAGAGGGTTCGGGGGGCGGGGAACTAATCCAGTGTGACTGGTGTTTCTATAAGAAGAGGGTACTCATGCACAGAAGGGTGACCAGGTAGGGATGAAGCATTAAATGGGCAGCCATCTATAAGCCAAGGAGACAGGCCTTAGAGAAACCCCACCTGCCAGCACCTTGATCTTGGACTTCTAGCCTCCAGAACTGCAAGAAAATGAATTTTCATTGTTGAAGCCACCAGTCTGTGGTTTGCTGTTATGAAAGCTCTAGGAAATGAATATTCTTGGTTTTATGAACCTGCGACCTCATATGCCCCGTATTAGCCATTCTACCCTGCTGATCTCAGCCTCATTCAGACTATACTCAAGTAAGCACCATGAGTGTGGGCACAACTCCTCCTTCACGTCCCCACCTTGCTTAATCCCAGGACCCACAACAGATGCACTTTTTTCCTTTCTCCAAGCCTCCCTGTGGTGAAGACCTGGTTGTTGGGCACCATTTTGTGATTCTTCCTTCCACAGTTGTAATACAGGAATGGGTTGGTACTGAAAAGAAGTATGGCCTTATAGTCATATATCATTAACGTAAAAATGATAGGAAGCCTAACAAAGTTCTGATTTTACCCATGGTGATTGTTTTGATATTGACGGGGGGAAGCAAATAACCAATTCTTTTCTATTTTCATGTCACCTCCAATTTATTTTATTGCTTTCTGGTACTGCTGGAATCCTGAGCACACATGAATTTGCCTGTCTATAGATAAATATTCAATAAGATGACTTGCAGCAGTCTCATGGTCTTCCAGCTCTGGCATATTTGACCTGGGTCTTAACCTTCTTTCCACCTTATCCACTTATTCCAAGGCACAGCACTTCCAAACCTCCTGCCTAAGTTCTTTCTAGTTTGCTGCCAAGTTGTGGCTCCCCTGCTTGGTGGCAAAGCCCAGTGCAATAGGCATCAGTTCTGCTAGTCATTCATCTCAAGATTTTGCTTCTACATGCACCATTTTCCCTTTTGTTCTGTAGAAACCTTGAATCTCTTTAATGTCATTGTAAGGTAGTGAGGTATGAGAGACAGCAAGAGCTTTGGAGTTTGAGAGACTTAGGTTTGAATGCTGGCTCCACCTTCCTGACTGGGATCCTGGGCGATGTATGATTTTCTTGTGGCTGTTGTCACACATTATGACAATCTTAGTGGGATGAAACAACAGAAATTCATTCTCTCACGGCTCTGGAGGCTGAAAGTTTGAAACCGATGGGTTGGCAGAGCTTCACCTTCTGTAGGTTCTGGGGGGGAAAATCCATCCTTTGCCTCCTCCAACTTCTGGTGGCTGCTTGGCATTCCTTAGTCTGTGGCCATATGACTCCAATCCCTGGCTCTGTGGTCACATTACCCCTTCTTCTTTGCATGGATTCTCCTCTGTATGTCTGTCTTATAAGGATATAAGTGGTTTCATTTAGGACCCATTGAGATAATCCGGAATTAGGCTTATCCTCTCAAGATCCTTATCATAAACTCATCTTTTCCCATGTAGGCTAATCTTGACTCTTTTTCCATATAAGGTAATATTCACAGAGTCTGAGGTTTAGGATATGGACGCATATTTCCAGGAGCCATGTTGAATTCACTTCAAGCAATCTACAGTGCCTCAATTTTCTCATATATAGAACAGGAATACTAACAGGTACTTCACAGACTCAAAGTGAAGATTAAATAAAAAGGGTTTAGTAGTAGCGGCTCAGCAAAAATCTGTATCTCCCAAGAGCCCCACACATTGCTGGGTATAAACTGTACTGACTCCCAAATGTCCCAGTCCCACTCCAGCTAGGTTTCAAGAAGTCTGTTACCTGCAGCCCCAGTCCATCTTAGTTCCAGACCACACATGGAGAGGCTGTGCCCAAGACAATGGCCTCCAAGAACAGCCGACAACCCTAGGTTCATTTCCCCAGTTTGTAGGAATGGATTTGGTTTTCTAGTCAGTCTGGGAGCAATTGCAACATCAGCTTCATCTAACCAACCCATTCTCATCTAATCAACATTTAGTCTTGGTCACTGTCTCATCATTCAGTGTCTGCAGTAGATTTTGACCAGGTCTGATCCCTGCCCATCTCTTTCACTGAGACATGAGCCTGCTTCTCCGTGGCCTCTACCCTGCCTCACAGGGACCTGCACTCAGCCTCTTCCTCACCTCACCTGCCTCCTCCCTCTGCATCTGAGCCATTCTCTGACTTGTCCATTCCCTCAGTACTCAAACCATTGCCTTCCACCTGTTCAGTCTCTTTACATCTGAGTCATTCCCTGCCCTAAAGTCATTCATATGCTCCTTTGGTGGCACCATTCTCTTTCATCACTAACTCTTAACATGTGTAATTTATTTCCCTTGGAATGTACTCTCTGCCCAGTCTTATGACTACTCTTATTTTTCCTTGAAACTTACCATCAAGATTTACTTCCTACAGGAAGTCTTCTCATATTGGGGTAGATGTTTCTTCTCCATGCTTCCATCATGGCTTTGATACTGTGTCGTGCTTGGCTTTTTAGCATGACTATCTCCCCTAGGAAGTGGCGAGCTTCTTGAGGCTGAGTGTCTTTTTATACCATTGGCCTCTAGCACAGTGCCTCAAAATATTAAGTACTCAAAGAAGGACTACTGAATGGTCCTTTTGTCAAGAACTATCATCTTCCTAAAGTCATGATGCTGAATTCTTTGAATTAGATCCTCTTTAACAGACAATGGGCCCCAATGGGACTTTAAAGTATTAATTGAAGTTGTTTTAGATCTCCAGACCCTCTCGACCCATCTCCGCCACTGTAGTCAATTGTTGTTTTTAAACCCATCTTGGGACAAGCCAAACAGATTCCCAAATCTATCCTCCTCCTTGGTAGAGGCTCTCAGGATATGCTGAAGTGGGTTGTGATGAATTTGACAACTGAAAACCTTTAGGAAATGAAACTCACCAATCTAGCTGAATGCACTCAGCTAGGAATAAACTTATTCACTGTGCTTTTCTAGATCCAGAAATGGATCTTATTTTAATTGTTATTACTAGCAATAACATAGTGCTTCACATTTTGCAAATGTGCTTTCTCATATATTATGTCAGTTAAGCCTCATGTTAACCCTTGAAGGTAGGTATTAGTAGTGTTATTTTCTCTCTTTCCCTCCTTCCTTTTTTGAAAAGCATCATGGTGAAAGATAATGGTACCAGGGTTAGACTTAGGTTGGGATCTCATCTCTGTTGATTACTTGCTGTATGTCTTTGGAAAAATCAGTTAACTTCCTTGACCCTCAGGATTCTTAAGCAGTAGGATATTTTCACCAGATCAGATTGAAACCGCCATTTGACTCCATCATTTAAACTTCAGAGATATTTCAGCCTTGCCGCAAAATTGAAATGGAAAAGAAATAACACTAATGAAAATGGGAAAAAATTACAAATGATTAAATTGTGCAATATGGAACATTGATCAAGGAATTAAATTGACTTTAATGGAGTTCGCCGGAAAAATACTTTCTCACAGAAGTCTATTGATGTTAGCATAATTCTCATTAACATATTTGTATCTGAAATGTACTTGGGGGACAAAATGGGGTTGAAATTGTGAGCACGAATAGCTTGGTCCCTGATGACCATAATAATGGTCTATT